CCAGACAGTCAGTGTAACATGTGCCAGACAGTCAGTGTAACATGTGCCAGACAGTCAGTGTAACATGTGCCAGACTGTCAGTGTAACATGTGCCAGACAGTCAGTGTAACATGTGCCAGACAGTCAGTGTAACATGTGCCAGACAGTCAGTGTAACATGTGCCAGACAGTCAGTGTAACATGTGCCAGACAGTCAGTGTTACATGTGCCAGACAGCCAGTGTAACACGTGCCAGACAGTCAGTGTAACATGTGCTAGACAGCCAGTGTAACATGTGCCAGACAGCCAGTGTAACATGTGCCGGACAGTCAGTGTAACATGTGCCAGACAGTCAGTGTAACATGTGCCAGACAGCCAGTGTAACATGTGCCAGACAGCCAGTGTAACATGTGCCAGACAGTCAGTGTAACATGTGCCAGACAGTCAGTGTAACATGTGCTAGACAGCCAGTGTAACATGTGCCAGACAGCCAGTGTAACATGTGCCAGACAGTCAGTGTAACATGTGCCAGACAGTCAGTGTAACATGTGCCAGACAGTCAGTGTAACATGTGCCAGACAGCCAGTGTAACATGTGCCAGACAGTCAGTGTAACATGTGCCAGACAGTCAGTGTGAGAGTCACCTCAGACAGGCTGCCTCGCCTCCCACAGCATGGCACTACTGCTCACACACCAGGTTCCTCAAGGTCGCGATCTACTTGGAGAACTGTATTACAATTTATTAACAGCCAATACTTTATTATAAGAGATTATAATAATATAAAATAATATAAGCGAATAATAATTACTACATCATTTATTAGAGTAACCAATGGTGAGTAGCAATTTTTTTAAGACTGAGGTTTCATGGAAACGTCAGTGGTATTTCTTAACACATTTTTATTCATGGATTTAGTTTCTGATAAACATGGCGTGTATTCACGTGGACTTAGTGTCATATAAGACTGCCAATCAAATAACATGGCTTCCTATCATGCCAGAATTCAGAGGAAAAACGTGGAGCTCAATTTGATGTTTGGTTATAATATGTGCATGTACAATATGTCAATGTGACTTATAATAATTTATGCAAAATATGGCACTGGAATATATAATCAACATATGCAAATATGGCATCAGCAAAATGTGAGGTGAATGTGAAGTTATACAGCCATCGTGGTACTAAGGAACACTAGCATCAGGTGCGACACAGACCTCGACACAAGTCTGTCCTACCTTCACGCACGCCTATTGCAGTTGTTAGCTGGGAGAGACTACCAGTAGATCTACACATTCAGAGAGAGAAATGAAACCCTAAGGTTCAAATTAAACTGTTATGCTACACTGGTCGGCCTCTTACATGCAAGCATCATTCCTTCATTGAGGCGGCAGCGCCTCAGGTGGTCTCATTGTTCTAGGGTCATCACTTCCACAATATGTGGAATGTGCAAGGTTGTACTGACAATGTGCTCGTGTCCTTCACTTCCACATATGACTATGTGCAAGGTTGTACTGACAATGTGCTCGTGTCCTTCACTTCCACACATGACTATGTGCAAGGTTGTACTGACAATGTGCTCGTGTCCTTCACTTCCACACATGACTATGTGCAAGGTTGTACTGGCAAGATGCTCGTGTCCATCACTTCTGCGTATGGGACTTGTGAGACAAACTAGCGAGAGATAGAGGTTGACGGATGACATTGTAGGTATCGGCTGCAAAGGCACATGGGACTGAGTCAGTTCCCATCACATGTAAAGGCATTAGTAATATCCCTTTCCAAGGGGGAATATAGTGAACAGTTTTATCAGGATTAAGAGACACATTCAGTTTCAGAAGATTATTGGCACAACAACTGGTCTCTTTGCATTATACCCCCATCAGTGTAAAACAGATGTATAACACTGAAACTATGAGATGTATAACATTAGAAGCTATTGTCAGTCATCTTCAAAATCTAAAACCAACTGAATCTTATGCCTTTGTTGATGACTGTGCAGTTAGGCACTGATAGAACAGGTTGTGCATGTGCAGTATATAAAGGCAATGAAATGATCATGACTAATACACAGAGATTGAACAACTGGGCAAGCACGACACAGACTGAGCTATTGGGTATTTATCTAGCCACTGAGTACCTTGAGCTCAATGGTGGTAGAGTGATATTCTGTGACTATAAAAGTGTTCTGCAGTCCTTAAATAACCCATCACAATGTATGTCTGAAGTAGCTTGTAATATAAATGGAATGTAATTTTTGTCAATGATAATAACTATTCTATAAAACTTGTGTGGATCCCATCCCATGTTGGAGTTGGAAAACACGACTTTGTAGATCGATTGGTCAATGAAAGAAAAGAAAATTGCTGGAAAGAAAACACTGATTATGACTTTGGACTATCTAATGAAATTATTAGACACATACAAAATAAAGAAATTAATTAAGATTTAGAAGAATTAAGAAATACCCAGAGATCTGAAAGCTGCCGTATTAAAAGCCATGATAACTTTTGTAATAATAGGTATTTGTATGGTCAGCACAGTAACCGTACCAGGCAATGTGATGTAGTCATTGCGCGAATTCGCCTTGGCTATAGACACATTTGGCCGGTTAGTGAGGCTGAGCCACTACAAGAATATTCAGATTGTAAACTCTGTGTAAACCTTTAATGCATTCACAAGAACATTATATTCTTGAATGTGAAACCGTTAAAGATTTTAGACCTCCTGGCTTCTTGTACCACCAACTGTGTAACTATTTCATTGACTCAGGTGTTCTGGACGACATCCTAACAATTTATCCAAAATTTGCTTGTCCATTTTAAAGAATGAAGAACAATTTTATTTATATTACTTCTAAGCTGCATCATTCATTAACCCATCCCTGCCCACGTGCGGCAGTGCACAATAGAAAGTTGTTTTTACATTTTCATACATTAAAACATTGATTGTAACCATGATATATATGTGCTTCCGCCTACAGTTTAGACCTATTGTCTTGTGTATGACCCTCTGTCCTGCGTGGCAGTGAATACCAGCATTATCCTCACTTTAATAAGACTTAATTGAAATCATCAGATTAGGCAATATTGTAATTGAATTTGTCAATAAAGATGTTAATAATAATAAGAAATATCCCTTCAAGACAGTTAATGTAAGATAACATAGATATTATTGGATACTCTGATCACTCTTGATTACAGTTACTCGTGCACATCTCTAAGATTGTGTTATTGCTTCAAGTCTAAGTAATATTAAGTCGTGAGTGAACAATGTCGATTAGGTAATACTAGAATACTTGATATTATGGGTGAGTTAGTCAAGTAATTTCGTCTGAAGGCTGTCAGATGAAAACATGCACGTCTTTAGTATCAGATACTTGAGCTTAGAAAGTTCTCAGTACCCTTCAGCACTTCTTAAGAAAAAGCTGTGTGTGTATATATATATATATATATATATATATATATATATATATATATATATATATATATATATATATATATATATATATATTAGTATATTTTGGTAGCAGTCTTTCCTGTAGACATATATTATTAAATATGACCGAAAAAGAAAGATTAATAATTCTAACACGAATTTTCTCAATCTTTCATACATTACGCTTCACTGTTGGAGGTAAATCAAAAATCAATTCTCCAAAATTCATTTTTATTTCTAGTCTGACGCGACACGGGCGCGTTTCGTAAAACTTATTACATTTTCAAAGACTTTAGTTCACAAATACACAACTGAATAGAACTTACGTATCTCCGATTTTATATCTACATTTGAGTGAGGTGGAAGGGGTGATGTGGCATTAACACAAGACAGAACAAAATGTGGTATTAATAGGGTATTAATTTCATCAACACAAGACAGAACAAGAGTATTAATAGGGTATTAATTTCATCAACACAAGACAGAACACGAAGCAATGGATATTGAATAGAAGTGTTTGTAGAAAGCCTATTGGTCCATATTTCTTGATGCTTCTATATTGGAGCGGAGTCTTGAGGTGAATTTTGGAGAATTGATTTTTGATTTACCTCCAACAGTGAAGCGTAATGTACGAAAGATTGAGAAAATTCGTGTTAGAATTATTAATCTTACTTTTTCGGTCATATTTAATAATATATATATATATATATATATATATATATATATATATATATATATATATATATATATATATATATATATATATATATATATATATATATATATATATATATATGCGAACAAGCCTGAATGGTCCCCAGGACATATGCAACTGAAAACTCACACCCCAGAAGTGACTCGAACCCATACTCCCAGAAGCAACGCATCTGGTATGTACAAGACGCCTTAATCCACTTGACCATCACGACCGGACATAATGAGGTGATAGCCGAGGCTATTTGAACCACCCCACCGCCGGCACTCGGATAGTTATCTTGGGCATAGCATTTTACCAAATCACCTCATTCTTTGGGGCAACACGTGAGGAACACAAATGCGAACAAGCCTGAATGGTCCCCAGGACATATGCAAAATGCATATGGTCCCCCAGGACATGCATATGTCCTGGGGACCATTCAGGCTTGTTCGCATTTGTGTTCCTCACGTGTTGCCCCAAAGAATGAGGTGATTTGGTAAAATGCTATGCCCAAGATAACTATCCGAGTGCCGGCGGTGGGGTGGTTCAAATAGCCTCGGCTATCACCTCATTATGTCCGGTCGTGATGGTCAAGTGGATTAAGGCGTCTTGTACATACCAGATGCGTTGCTTCTGGGAGTATGGGTTCGAGTCACTTCTGGGGTGTGAGTTTTCAGTTATATATATATATATATATATATATATATATATATATATATATATATATATATATATATATATATATATATATATGGATTAACTAATATGGGGAAGCATTTAGCCGGCTTGCAGCCCATAGGCCCATCTAAAGGTGGCGAGGGACATGATGTCACTAATATGTTACTATTTGCGGTCATATATTAAAACCAAATTGACCCCTGCCTGTCAGAAGAAGCTCCCCAGGTTTGGGGAGCTTCTTCTACTCCAGTTCTTCTACACCCAAAATGGGGAGTAGAAGAACTCCCAGAACCCCATCAAGCAGGTAGCCCAAGGAGTCCTCTCGCCCACTTGGAGCCAGATTCCCCCGCTTCATCCCAAGTAAGATGGCGGCCATCCCTCAGTTGCTAATACTGCCAATATTAATCAATCGATAGGCACACAACAGACCTTCTGTAACAATATTACTCCAGGCAGATAACGTTATAAGTAGATACCCAAAATATCAATGGACTACATCATATATTTAAAGTTATATAACTTACGCACCTTCTCAGTTCACTCGGGAGTGATGTTCCAAGCCTGTGTGCACCTGCTGACTCACACCAGTCAACTGGGAGAAGACTACCCACTCACACCTCTGCTGCTTTCCTCACTACTTTGTCTTTCAGTTTATCTTGCTATCAATGACACCTTTGGCGTACATGTAAGGAAGCCTTCTTGTTTACCAGGTGCGAGACACAAGTGGAGGCGAAGGGCGGGTCTACATGGACGGTCAACTGCTTATCAGGGATAACTTCACCTTCCAAGTCGACAACGCTGTCAGAGACGTCATCATCGGCCAGGATGAGTTTATGGTATGTGGGACTTCAGTCATGGCGTGGTAGGCCACAGGGGTCATGGGTGACAGTGAGAGGTGTTTATGGTATGTGGGACTTCAGTCATGGCGTGGTAGGCCACAGGGGTCATGGGTGACAGTGAGAGGTCTTGGATAGGCTGGCGGGGAGGCGTTCATGGGTATTAAACGATAACACTTGTCTGGGATACGTCTAGCAAATTTATGGTCATGTTGTTTGAGAAGATTCATGATAGCTGGGAACACTTAGTTATGGTTATATTGTCTTGGGAGGGTGAAGCAAGTATGTATGGTGAAGGTATGCTGGGAAAGCCCTAGACGCTCTTAATAGTCATGCTGGTTTGGGAGAGTCATGTTACACTTCTAATAGCATGTTGTTTGGAAAGAATAATGGCAGGTTTGAAAGAGTTATATTGCCTGGAAAGAGTCATGGTACGACTTGTAATGATAGTGTTGGCTTGAAGGAATCATAGAATAACTTGTAAATGTCATGATGCTCCAAAGTCATGGAAGGCCCTTATGTGTAATGTTGACTAGGAGGATTCATGGTGTGACTTGTGGTGTTAATGTTACCTGGGAGGGATCATGGTTGGCTTGTTAGGGTCATGTTGCCTGGGAGGGATCATGGTTGGCTTGTTAGGGTCATGTTGCCTGGGAGGGATCATGGTTGGCTTCGCACGACATGACCCCAAAGGCAACCTGTTACAATTTGCACCTGAAAGGCGTGACCCTAGAATAATAATAGGGCCGACAACCTGACGCTACCGATATCCTCCTGTGTGACTGAACTCTCGTTTTATGTAAAATACTAGCAGTACGCGGCCACGCGTTGCTGTGGCTCAAGCGTGCTGAGCCACAGCACTCAGATGCCCATCGCCCCTGAGTGCATCACAGCACTCAGATGCCCCACTCTGCTGTCCCTTTGTCCATCCCACGGTTCTCCATTCCTCCATCCCCTCGTCCCCACCATCCCAAACTTCCCCGTCCCCTCGTCCTTCTCCACCATTACCCTCTCCCTTGTCCCCTCGTCCTCCGCACCATCTCTCACTTCCGTCCCCTCTTCATCCCCACCATTCCCCACACTCTCGTCCGATGCCTTCCCAGATGGTCTCATGTCCCCAAATGGTCTGATGATGAGAAAATTGGGAACATGATGTTCTCATCACTGAAATATAAGAAAAACAGTAAAAAAATTAAATGAAAATATATAAAAATAAACTATACTCACAAAATGAACGGTCTGGTAAACAACACAGCTCAATTCCAATGCAATTCACCCAAAATAATTAAATCAAAATGAAAATAAATCAAAATCTATGAAAATTCAGTTTATCAGTGCAATCAGAAACATTGAAATGGAATTGTAACATATCTAGTATAGCATGTGTGTTGCTCATACATGCAACAGATGGCGCTGTTTTTCAGAAAAAGCATGTTTTTTTCCTGTCACAGGTGAGGCATGTATATAGTAGATACATAAAAAGCCGCGCCTGTTCAAATGCAACGTTATGTCAAAATTTCAAAGCAATAGGTAAAGAGGTTCCGAAGATTTCCCTAACATGAAAAACAACTGTTTTTCAGAAAAAGCATGTTTTTTTTTTTACCGTCAAAGACGTGACATATATATATATATATATATATATATATATATATATATATATATATATATATATATATATATATATATATATATATATATATATATATATATATATATATATATATATATATATATATATATATATATATATATATATATATATATATATATATATATATATATATATATATATATATATATATATATATATATATATATATATATATATATATATATATATATATATATATATATATATATAAACCTGCTCGGATGCGAATGAAACGTTGTGTGAAAATTTCAAAGCCATCGGGGAAGAACTTTCGGAGATTAGCGATTTTGAACAAACGATCATTTCCATTTTTATTTATATAGATTAGACAAAACTCATTTATGCTGTTACATTGTAATAACAAGGAAATCTGGAAGCTTACATAGCGTAGGAGAGAGAGAGAGAGAGAGAGAGAGAGAGAGAGAGAGAGAGAGAGAGAGAGAGAGAGAGAGAGAGAGAGAGAGACAGACAGACAGACAGACAGAGAAAAACAGAGAGAGACAGAGAGAGACAGACAGACAGACAGACAGACAGACAGACAGACAGACAGACAGACAGACAGACAGACAGACAGACAGACAGACACAGAGGAACAGAGAGGAAGACATGGAAATAGAGAGGAGACAGAGACAGAGAGACAGAAAGACAAAGACAGACAGACAGACAGACTGACAGACAGAGGAACAGAGAGGAAGACATGGAAATAGAGAGGAGACAGTGACACAGCGAGACAGAGAAAGACAGACAGACAGACAGACTGACAGACAGAGGAACAGAGAGGAAGACATGAAAATAGAGAGGAGACAGATAATTAGACAGGTAGTGGCAGACGGAGATACAGAAAGATTCCAGGAAGTCTTCAAAATAGAGCGATGAGAAGATCCTGAACTAGGAGAGGGAATATCTTAACAGACACCACTTGAAGAGATTGAGATTACCAGAGGGGAGGTAAGGAAGCATTTTGCTTGAATTAGATGTGGACTTGACTTGGTATAACAGACTTTGACTTGACTTGGTATAAATCGCTAATCTCCGAAAGTTCTTCACCGATTGCTTTGAAAGTTTCACAGAATGTTCCATTTGCATTCGAGCGGGTTTTTATATACATACTATATATATGTCCCGTCTGTGACGGGAAGAAAACATGCTTTTTTTGATGAACTGTGTTTTTCGTGTATTTTTCATGTGAGGGAAACCTCTTTACCGATTGCTTTCAAATTTTAACACAACGTTGCATTCGAATAGGGGCGTGTTTTTATGTACCTACTATATACATGCCTCACCTGTGACGGGAAAACCATGCTTTTTTTGAAAGACAGAGCCATCTGTTGGACGTGGGAGCAACACACGCTGTAATCTCTGAAAGTTCTTCAACGATTGCTTTGAATATTTGACACAACGTTCCATTCAAATATGTGCATGTTTTTATATACCTCCTACATAGATGCCACACCTGTTACAGGTAAAAACATGTGTTTTTTTTAATTTAGCGCCATCTGTTGCATGTAAGAACAACTCACGCTATACTAAATATGTTACAATTCCATTTCAGTGTTTCCGATTTCATTGATAATTGGAATTTTCATAGATTTCGATTTATTTTCATTTTGATTTAATTATGATGTGTGACATTGGGTTGGAATTGAGCTGTGTTTTTTACCATACCGTTCATTTCGTGAGTATAGTTTATTTTTTTATTTTTTCATTTTTCTCATATCATTTTTTTAACTGTTTTCTTATATTTCAGTGATTGAAACATCAGATCATTTGATGTTCCCAATTTTCTGATGGGAACGTCAGATCATTTGGGAACGCTTCGAACGAGGGAGTGGGGAATGGTATGGAGGACGAGACGGGTGTGGGGGTTGGTGGGGAGGACGAGGGGACAGGGGAGGGGAGAATGGAGGGGACATTCGAATGGAGAATAGTGGGTAGAACAAGGGGACTGGGGAGTGAGGGATGTTGGATAGTAATAGGGGACGGGGGAGGGGGGTAATGGTAGGGAAAACGAGGAGGACGGGGGGAGTGGGAGAGGGTGGGGAGGGCGAGGGGATGGTGGAGTGAGGAATGGTTAGAAAGACGAGGAGACGGTGAAGTGGGGGATGTTGGGGAGGACAAATGGACAGGGGAAGGGGGGAATGGTGGGAAGAACAAGGGGATGGGGAAATGGGGAATGTTTGGGAGGAAGAGGGGATTGGAATCTATGAAAATATAATTTATCAATGCGATCGGAAACATTGAAATGGAATTCGTGACATTTAGTATGGCGTGCATGTAGCTATTATGTGCAACAGATGGCACTATTTTTCACAAACGCATGTATATATTCAAGGACTGGATCGAGAAGGCTAACATCGTAGTGATAGCAGTCAGAAATCACTGGTCTCAGTGTGGTAATAAGTTGAAAAAACTTCTTCATTATATATATATATATATATATATATATATATATATATATATATATATATATATATATATATATATATATATATATATATATATATAATGGTAATAATAGGACACATGGGGTAGAAATACTGGGAAGTGAAATTTCGCCAAACAAGAACAGAAAACTGCAGAATGCACTTAGTTATAAATTCTGCGGATATCTACACCTAGATCGTCCAGAGCACTATACATCTCTGGTTCTGACTGAAGTAAACGGAACAGCACTTCTTCGTCTGCAATTCTAGACGGAACAGAGACAAGACCCCATATGGGCACCCATCATTAAGTTTTTGACTAAGCAAGATACTTGTCCGATTCACAAATCTTCATATGCGTATCCTACATCTCCCTATTTGTTGGGAGATTGCCCTATAATCATCTCATTCTTGGAGAGGCGGTTCAGCATCACCTTTATTCAGGGGTGTGGCTCCAAACTGGCCTGGTTGTCATGAGTACACACCCACTCGAGCTGCCGTGACTTCCCCACATTCTCCTTGTTATGGGATGATCTATTAAATTCCCCTGTATAAGTTACTGATACAGGAGTTGTTGGATCTCCAAATATCTTCACAGAGGAAACGTGTAGCTCTCCTACACTCGAAGTTGCACTATATCAGTGGAGTTCCAATCCTCCACTTGAAGTCCTGCTCCACACTTGCAGTTCATCTTCCACTCGGAGTTCAGCATATATTTGGAGTTCATCATATAATCGTCTTCTTCAGACTCGAAGTTCCTCCACTAACTTCTCCCATACAAACCTATAATTCCATTATCAATCCATAATAACATGTCCTCTTAATAAAATATAAATAAATATATTTTCAATAAATAAACTTCTCCGTCCGACATTCATTTGAACACTTCGGCTCTGCCGCAATGGGTCCTCCCCCATTCTCAGCGA